TTTTTTTTTTTTTTTTTTTTTTGGAAGATTGGCAATGAACATTAAAGTTTTTGAATAATGTGTGAAAGTAATATTTCCAAATTAGAGATAAGGACAAATTGGGGAAATTCCGTTAAATTGGACCTTTAGTTGGCCTGTTGGCAGTCGAGAAATGGAAAACGGCAGTTGTAAGTTGTACTTTGATCGAGGAAACGCAAGGGAAAGTACTGGCTATGGTTAATGGACCTTGAATTTATTAGAGGTATAAATCGTTGAATTTTTATTTTAATTTAATTATTACAAATAATTAATAATTAATAAATAATTAATATTTATTATTTAATATATAAAAATTAGTTTATAAATAAAATTTTCTAAATATTATTATTAATTAATTAAAAAAATTATAAATTGATAAAATTACAACTAAAATGTGTGGGTTTAGTAAAATTATGGATAGCAACAACACAGTCATTATGTATAAAAAATATTTTCAATTGTGATCTATTATTATTATGTTTTTTTGAACAATGAAAAACTTTTTCGGGAAAAAGACAAAGGAGATTTAGGATTAGAACTCAAGTCTTGATAGTTTTAAACATGTCTTGCAAAGAAGGGTCAGTAGACCTCGAAGTACTAGACTTTCGATTGTGATCTATTGATTTTATAAAACTACTTAATTAAAATTTACCTAAAATCAAAATAAAACACTAAATTAAACTGAATAGATTATTAATCATAGGAAAATACATACCTCAGCGAAGATTTCATAGTTTATGAGAATTCAAAGGAAGGGTAATATGTTTTTTGGTTTTTGGTGCAATTTGAATGATTGATAATTTTGTACATGGACAGGTATTGTGCACAAGATGCATGATGTAATTTTTTAAACTCTTTTTGGTAGTACTTTAGTGCTGAGTTTTGAGTTTTTATTTTTTATATATTTAGTTAATATAACTATATTTAAAGATAAAAATAAAATTTATTATAAAAATTTGATTAATTTAAATATAATACTAATTATTAAATATATAAAACATAAAAATAAGAATTTCAAACTAAATTTATACTAAACGGAGCCTTATTCTTCCTTCTTATAATAATAATAATAATAATAATAATAATAATAAAAGACTTGGGTGTGTTTGGTATTTGAAAAATGACTTGCCCTTGCTCTGAACAGTTTAGAGGTGTAAATAAGCTGTAATTAATCATTTTCATTGGTTTTTTCCTAAGTATATATGGACAGTATGATATTGATGATAGTACTTTGATGGAATAAAAACTTATCGTTTTCCTACAAGAAAAATGTTTAAAGATGCGTTTGGTTTGTTAATTTCCTTAGAAATTGCTTTTGGGTGTTAGAAAACATGGGTCATAGTTTAAATCAAAATTCAATCAACAATATCATATTTAAGTTACATGTTTCTTATATTTTTTTTGTTGGATATTTAATAATACTAAATTTATTATAAACAAATATGCAAGATAGTTTAAAATATTGGCACTGTAAACTTGACATTAGTAGATGAATTATGTCTTGAGTATGGAAATAAATTTATTTTTGAATTTAAAATTTTTTATGGGATATGACTATTAATTGAATAGATATACCTATTTAATTTAAATAAATAGACATAAGAATTCTTTGTGAAAGATTATAACCTTTAGTCAAATGCCATAACTTTTGGTTATATGTCCTTTAAATTACTATAAATATATATATATATATATATATATATGCAAGTTATAATAGTGCATATGGTCACAAACTTACACCAAATTCATGATTAAGGTTTTAAAATTTTATTACACTCCATTAAAGTTCTAAAGTTACTAAAATTCTCAATTAAGGTCTCAATTGATGGAAACCATTAGGTTTGTTAAATCAATTAACACTGTTAAATTTAACTAGTTAAATAATAAAAATAGTTCCTAAACTTTTAATATAGGTTTCAATAATCATAAAACTTTCAAAAAGCTCTTGAACTTTTTTTTTTTTTTGGTTTATGGGGAAATTTTTGTGAGACTCACAACTAAAATTAATGTAGCATGTATGTGGGTCTCCATTTTTTTAATTTTTTTTATGAATAAATTTACTACGCATATATGTGGGATCACTTTAAAAAATTTATTACAACGAAAAAAACTCAAAAAATTGTTAATGGTTAATTAACTTTATAATGAAATCATTTAAAGAATAATTAGTAAATTATTATATATAATTAAAATTAATTTTTAATTGTGGGTCCCACAAAAATTTCCTTGTCAACAAAAAATTAGTTTAAGAAGCTTTTTAAGGTTTTTGAAAGTTTTAAGATTATTGAAAGCTAAAATTAAAAGTTTAGGAACTATTTTTATTATTTAGTCAGTTAAATTTGATAGACTTAACAGTTTGTGTCCAATTAACACCTTACTTGAGAATTCCTATAGTTTTGGAACTTTAATTGTATGTAATAAAACTTTACGACCTGAATTGCGAAATTAGTGTAAGTTTGGTTCCTCATGCACTACTTTAGCCATATATGTAAGCCTAAATTAAACACAAATGAGAAATTTCATTGTTTTCATAGTTTCTCTTTGGAGGGAGTTTAGTTCTTAAGTTCTATTGTATCCTGAGAGCATTTTGACATCTTTAAAATAGTAATATTACCCCTCAAAACTTTTTTTTTTCTTTTTTCCTTCTATTGTTTCTCTTATATTTTTCTAACATTTTTCCATTGTGGGATTCCAACATGGGTTTCCTCCATAGACTCTTGTTAGATGTAACTAGATTTATAAAATCAAAACTCATTATGATGGTTTTGTAAAGCGCTGTAAAGCGTGTTTGGTTGCAAAGGACTTTACACCAAAGTATGGAATAAAGTATGAGAAGACATTTGCTCCGATTGAACATCTTACATTAGTTTGCAATTTGCTTGCTATTATTGTTGTCTTGAGATGGAAATTATCTTAGATGGATGTAAAGAATGCATTTCTCAATGGTTATCTAGTTGAAAAGGCTTACATGAAGTGACCTCCTAGCCTTAATCATCATCCGAATAAGATATGTTAGTTGAAACATGCATCATATGGATTGAAGCAATTCCTTTGAGCATTTTTTGCTAAATTTAATACAATAGTTAGTGAGTTTGGTTTCACTTCATATCTATATGGTACTAGCTTGTTCATTCAAAAAATTGATTAGGGTTTGGTTCTCCTACTTTTCTTTGACAATATAATTATTATTGGAGATGATGTTTCAAGCATCAACAATCTCAAACTGTTTCTTTTCGATCAATTTGAGATATAATACATCGTGGTTCCTTGAATCACTTCCTTGGTCTTCAAGTTTCTTTTTTAGATGATGGTTATTTTCTTTCTCAAGCAAAGTATGCATATGACCTTGTTTATAAAGCAAGCTTAAAGCCAACAAGGCTATTTCCACACCTCTTGGGCCTAATACTAAGTTTACACCAATGGATGGCTCCCCACTTTTTGATCCTACTTGCTATCAACAATTAGTTGAGAGTTTGGTTTATATTACTACGACACGCTCAAACATAGCATACGTAGTTCACATAGTTCTTGGTTGCTCCTTGCTCTACTCATTATGTTGTTGTTCTTTGCCTTAATTATTCATTATGTTAAGGGAACACTATTTCACAACCATCAACACAACATGGAGTTCCAACATTCCTCGCTTTAACATGCCCCCTCACATGCAACTTGAATTATTGAAGTCCCCAAAGGCACAAGCCCACTAGGCTCGATAGAGTAGAGCTTCACCTTCCCCCACACAAAGAAAATAAGGCTTGGATCTAGTTGTGAAAAATGAAAAAGAAGAAGAAAAGGTGGTGCTTGATACTATATTAGAAGATGCATGTGAGTCTCAACATAAGATGAGGTTTCAATCTAAAATCCATTAGCAATAATAGGTAAAGTAATCCATATCATATTTAAACCACGTGTTTCTTTTCCTATTTTTTAATGTGAAATTCCTACTTTAACATGGGAAGCCAAGAAGAAATTTTTGCTTGCTTCCATTGAGAAGAAAATTTTTGGGATCAAAGGTTGTTAATTGGTTATATTGCCATATGGTTAAAGGTTGGAAAATGATTTAAGGATAATTTTTTTATATCAATTTTTTATACAATCTTACTCGTCATTTAAATGATTATTTTTTTTATTTATTTGAAATTTCTAATATTAAATATATCTACTCATTTAAAAATACATAAAAATTATATTAAAAAATTGTACACTGTCCCTGCATTATTGCCCATAAAGTTATTAATTGATAAAAGTTCATTACAAAAATTATTAATTTTCAATACAGGTACTTTTTTTCTTAAACTTTCTTTCAATAAAAATTTTTCCAAGAAAATGACCCTTAAACCAAGCAAGGACTTAAAATCTGTTTTAATTTGAGGAAAAGACGCATAAGACACTCTATTCAATTTTAAAAAGTTTACATTTTTCTGTCTTGCATGATGATGATAGTTTAATTAATTACTGTCATGTCAAGATAAAGTTTAGTAACATAAACTTATTCATATTATCAACCATGAGATTGATGCTTATCACCAAGAGTTGTAAAAATAATTTAATAAAAAAATACTTAAAGTTAAATTATTTTAATAAGATATTATAAGAAAAAATTTAAATAGTTTCATTCATGTTTTAAAATTAAGATATTTTAAATTTTTTTAATTGATTTTTATTAAAATAATATAATTTTAAAATATTTTTTGTCTAATTTTTTATAATATAAATTAATACTCACTTTTTCCTATCAACAATAATATTATTTATATTCTTAGTTATATGCTTAAGGTTGAATTTCTGATTAAAAAGAAAAACCTGATGATTCTGTCAGGTTCCATCTTGTACACTCTCCCTTGAGTCGAATTTTTATTTCGAGATAATTTATAGTTATATGATTATGTGAGACACCGAGACTAAGACTGAGACTGATGAATTTTATTTTTTTCATATAATCTTAAATTCTTAATATAATATGTTATGGAATAAGGAAAAACACACGCAATTAACTAAGTATCATGGGTCCTTGGATCCCTTGCCACAAGGTTCCAAAATCCAACGACTGTTTCTTTATTTTTTTTTTCTTTTTTCTTTTTTCTTTTTTTTTTGTTTGGTCATTGGTTCCAAGCAACAGCAATTCGTTGAATTCATTTTCCTTTCAATGTTCAAACCTTTGAAGTTCTGGTAAACCCCACGAACAATACCTATTGGTATGCATGAATGCACCAAACAATACTCATTTCTTTGAATGTGGACCACAGGAATAGAACTTTAAAAATCTGGTTTGAAAATTTGAGTCGGCGAAGGAAAGCTAGAGACTGAAGCCTGTCCTGATTCCTAAGATCCCAATTCTGAGACTAGATGCATGTTCTAGGAGGGAATAGTTTGGCCCCAGGCTGCCCAAATTTTCAGCCCAATGCTGATAGAATTTGTCCCCACATGATTTAAGGCACTTAGAAGCATTCCTTTTTAAAATAATAGTAATAATAAAAAAATATACCCATCACAAGAGATAAACTTTCTTTTTGCCAAACTACTTATACTTGAAGTTTTTATTATAAAACCTTAAATTTCTAATTATTGAGAAATTTAATAACCAAAACACTCCTACAACTTGTTTGGTTTGAAAACAAATAAAAATAAAAAGAGAAAAAATTGTTATAACCAATCAAATTTTGTTTGCTTAACAATTTAATTTAATTAGTCAAAATAATAAGGTTACTTTCCCCTCATTCCTTTTTATTTCCCTGAAACAAAACATGCTAATAAATAACAAACACTTGGATTTCAACTCATATCAATCAAAAGATATCATAAGTTATAGATGAATTTGTAACTAAATTGCTTTTTTTTTTTTTTT